AAAAAAAATATTAGAAAACGGTACAAAAAAATTGCAACATTTTTTTTTAAATTATAGGAAATTAAAATTATTTTTAATAATGTTAAAATAATGAAAAAAGATATCTGTAATACTTTTATCTATAACTCATTAAGATACAAGGTAAAGAATGTAAAAGTAAAGAATTGTTTTTCTTTCTACAAAATCAGGTACTTGAATCAGTATAAATCTTATAACATTTCCTTTTAAACACTTTAATATAATCACTCCACTGCAATTTTCACCACACAAACTCTGTTAAAATAGTAATCGTTATTGTGCAGATAAGGGTTGATGATTGTTCATCAACAGAAGTAGCAAGCATGTAATAAAATGTACTAAAAAGTCAATCAAATCAAACAGTCTAAAGGCGAAAACATTCAGACACAACATACCTGTTAATTATTTAATTACAAAACCGAGAGATTATCAGCTACTAAGATTAACAAAGGACAACCATCACCTAAAACGATGAAAGACTACTGACACTATCCTTAATTGAGGGACGATTATTTTCAACATACAAGAAACACATAATTGACTTTCAGGGTAATAGACATTAAAGTCAACACAGAGCTATGCTTTAAGTAAGGATAGCTCAGCATGTTTAATGCTTGCTTTTAAAGAAGAAACATTTAATGCTTTGTAAGTTTATACTCTAATAGCTAAAGAAACATAGCACTGTGTCCTGTAATTAGCAACCCAGCTGACTAGTCAACCAAAATCGCGTTTTTGTTGCCACTTCATTTACCAGGTGGCGATACGATGGCGACGGCATTCTGACTGATGAATGTGTTGACGGGAACGAATCTAGTTAATAAGCGACATGTCGTGACGCGGGGAGCACGCATTACTGGTAGGGGTGACGACGGCTGATGTACGATGATGCGTTGGGGTTTGGTGCTAACGATGTTTGGAGATTTGCTTGACGTTTTGGTGGATAGGACAGCTGTCACAAATACAGTTTGAAGATGAGCAACAAGAGGCCCCAGACACAGCTCGTTACGCCAATAAACAGAGGCACTTTGTAGTCTAGAAATCAGAATCGCATACCGTACCGGAGAACCGAATTACTATGCTGGATAGATATCCAAATAGTAACGATCTCTATTATTGGTAACTTAAATATTGACAGTAGCTGTAAATAGTTTGTATTGCATGTACTTATTTCTGCTTAGAACATGAATTATAAACATAAAAATATTTGAGTATATTACATACAATGTAGGCAAAATATTTCGTTAGAGATATCAAGATAAACCTAACAATCTCAGAAAATGTCACATTCTAAAATTCAAGTGCCTTATGTTTCTTAGAAGTAATATCTGAATTATGCTAATATATGTACATATATTCAATTTACATTTCTATGTAATACTTATTTAATATAATGTATCTTAAAAGTAGATACATTCTTTTTTGCATAATATTATCAAAAAAAATCATACTTAATTGTATTGCACTTTTATATATTATTATATTTGTAACTATGCCTTAATAATACATCTAAACATCCGTTTATATATATATATATACACATAAAATCTAAATATTCACATGTATAAAAAATAAAAAATAAAGGAATACTCACACACTGACTCATACCAATTTAAAATCAAGCCATTAATTAAATTAATGCATGATACAAGAAAATAAATAGTACTTTTTACTGTACGTTTTAAGAATATTACGTTTTTCTACTAAAATTAATGAGATTGTTAAATCATAAATACGACTATAATGGCTTGTAATTTTAGTAGTAATATAAAAAAACTAACATACTACATCTATAAATATATGCATAAATATATAAATACAAAGAATCATGTATGTCATCCATGCATCTCCAAAACAAACCTTTA